TGAATATGTATTGGCCTTATGAGGTATTAGGTCTGCGTTCTTCTTTCGAGTACTCTTTGCCTAATATTGATTCCCACGAATAAGATGCTAACTAAAATTAGAAAAACACCAACAGCCATATAAGAAATGGCTAGAAAATCCTTTCGTGGTCCTATCCAGCTTTCACGTGTGATAATAAAGGATTTCTCGGCTCCTTTCCACGTGGCCGGGTAACCTAGAAAGGCAAAAATTACATAATTCTTACGGGTCTTTTATATATAATTTTATTGGTTATTTGGCTTATTTCAATAGCCCACAAATGTATTTCGCAACCCATCAGATCTTAATTACGTCCGAAATTAGAAATAATAGTTATTTAGTTGTCAAAATCTTGACTCAGATGTTTCTAGAATGCAAGCGTAATTGCATGGCACACAAATCTAAAAATGCGAGCCCATCATCGTACATGGATTCTTTTGTGCCTTTTGCCCATTAAAATGCATTGCTCATATTGCAGGATCAATCATTCAAACGAAAATTTACAATAATCGATGAAAAGTTTAGGTTCAAAATAAAATGAATGTATTCATTTTTGAGCTAGAACAGCCCAACTAAGATTTTCTTTCAAGCTTGAGCTGCAGGAACTGCATTTTGTCTCACGCGTTTACGTGGCTACTGTAAATCCCTCCTAGTTTCTCATCTACTGTAAAATCCCTCCTCTCATTTCTTGTAAATTTAAGTCTTTTAAATATGTTGAAGACGTACTGTAATTGATTACAAGCGTATATATGCCGTTGGGAAGGCCGTCACTAAATCCATCTACCTGAAAAAAAGTTTTTTTTTTGGTTAGATACGGACAGATTCTTAGCCATTAGAGGTTTGTCAACAGTGGAGCGTTTAGTGATTTGTACAGTGACAGAAGCAATCAGCTGATGACTATATGCTCAACTGCTGACAACTGCTTGCTTGTGTGAAAGCTGTCCGGATTATTCCGTGGTAAACTTTAAAAACAGCTCTCCTAACAAAAGATGTTTTGCAAAGAGCGAAGTTATGGGTAAGATTGGGCTCACTTCTCTATCTAGAAGCCTGTATAGTTTTCGGAAGTCCGGCAATGCGGCGGTTTGCATCCACATAATAAAGTCGATATTCTCAAACCCAACACCAGTACCAGGCATGTTGACACCCAGTTTGCAGATGTCTTTTTGCCACCAAGGTGGTCGAACCGT